AATGGTCTGAAAGAGAGTGTGTAGCACTTTGAGTAAAGAAAAAACAGGAGTCCTTATTCATATGAGAGGAGCAGGCTTGCTTTTGAAACTTCTGTGTGCATATGTGTGTGATTGTGGGTGTCCTGCCCAGATATTGGCTTGCAGCCATGAGATTTGGTCCATGGAAGGAGTAAGAGGAGTAGGAGGAGGAGTTGGGAGCCCTATGATCCAGGGGACTGTTGACTGACAGGAACAGTGGCTGTGCACAAACTTGCCAATGAGCATGAAGCTGGCACCCAAGACCACAGCACAGCAAACTCCAGTATTAAGTTAATTTTATGCCTGGATCCAGTAGTGGGACACCATATTGTGAGATCAAAGTGAAAATGTGATCAAACATAAATGTTGCTTTCTCCCTTGGGTTTTCTCTGGCACTATCATTGCAGAGTTTCGTTTGCAATCTTTAAAATGTATTTGTTTTCTGTGCTGAACAACAGAAAAGATATACGGTAAATGGATAATATATACACATGTGTATTTACTCTGGCAGGCATATTTCTCCTCTGTGCCAGCAGATCCTCTTCCTTCTGGACGAGTGCTAGAGTAGAACACCTGCATCTACATGTGATGGGAACTTGGCAAATATTAGTGGAAACCCATTCTCTGTTTGTTTCTTTTACATTCAGAAAAGCAATACCAATGTTAATGTGGTTGAAATCACTGAAATCCATGCCAGTTGATTTTCTGACACACACATACATACTGTGTATTTATATAGTCACACTGACAGTCGACTGAAAATCCTTAGTTGGGTACAGCCCTACTATTAAATGGTTTTGTAAATCTGCTTCTGTCATACACAAGGTCATTGCTGGTTTCAATTAAACTAAACGTTGTCTCTCACTCACACACACGGACCATATATAACCTATACTTGCTCTACATCAACTAAAACTGGTTTTTATCAAAGGCTATCTCATAATCCGCAGCACTTAGTATGTATACATACAGTATGATAAAGAATTCCTATGAAGTATACATTTCAAAGGGACTGTGTGATGCTGAATTTCTTTGCTTAACTTTCAGCGCGATCACATTTGCTGTGTCCTTTCATACACTTGTGTCTGTATGGAGGCCCCTGGTGTATGGTTGTTTATTAACTTGTCTGTCAAACCCTTGAGGGAAGTAGAAATTATACACCCACAGTTGTCAAGATGCTTTAAAGATGTTATAAAAATGTGGGAGCCTAAACCAGTAGCCCACGTTTTTAATTTTTAATTTTATTTTTTACAGTTTTGTTTTTCCTCCTTATTCTGTGTTGAAGAGTGACAGAATGATTGAAAACACCTTTCACAGTGATACCCTGAGCTACTTGCATGCTGCAATTCCAAATTCTGTTTCTTATATAATGGTACCAAACATGTTCATTAAATATATGTATTTTTAAGATAAGTCAAATCCTAAACCCAGTGTTTTTGTAAACCCCACATCTACAAAAAACACTGGGTTATTTGGTGGTTATTTGGTACCTGTTGTACCCTAAGGAGACTAGCCATTAAAATTGGAGTTATGTTATAGAAATAGTTGGACATTTTGATGAAATACAAATTCTTGACTACAGTACACACTGATGCCTCTGTATGAATTAAACAAATAAGCTAAAATTTGGTATTAGTGAGCTTTAGGGGGCTGTATATGGGGCCTGGCTCGCTGTTTCCCCCTGTTTTGGGTCTTTGGGCTAAACTGGCAGCGGAACCTCAGCAAGACGTGATTAAGAGGTCTTTTCCAAAAATGGCACTTTTATAAACTGCTTAGGGGAGTTTCAACCGTGCTTGAATGTACTGTGCGAATTCCATTACTGATTCAGTCTCATGCATCTCGATTTATAAAAATGTTCCCTTCAAAACATAATTTTTAAAGCTCAGTGCAACACATTGCTGAAAAGGTCTTGCTGCCACAGTAGTGATTGTAAAGTAAGACATGGAACATCATGCCTAAGGGTGGCGAAAAACCCCCCTGCACATGTTAATAGGCTCCCCCAGTTAGTGTGCTTGATCCTGATTGATGTCTTTAAGACACCCTATTGAGTTTACATCACTCCATGTTTTATCTGGCTTGCTGCAAGTGGAGACAGTTTAAGTGACCAATCTGTATGTTTCTGTCTAAACCAGTTCTGTGTTTTCTTTGTACCATCTGAAGCTTGTAGGGCTTGGTGAGTCTGCCCATCTGTAATTAGTGCCAACCATAAACAACCGGAATCCTGCTGAGCACTGCATGGGTGGCTGCCTTCACCACGACAATCTGGAGTTTCCCTCTTGTCCTCGGATTTGTCTGATGTAGAGCCAGCTGCCCTCCATGGGAGCTGACCTGTGGGCCCACCGTATGAAGAGATGTGACGAGAAAGTTAGAGGAGGAACATGAGACTATATATTGAAAGAGGAACATAGCTTGTGAAGACTGAAGAAAGAGGGTCTTGTTATGTAACTTGTATCCAGGAGGTGCCAGACTTCTTTTCTGTCCTCCTGCAAAATCATTTATATATATATAGTCTGATGTTATTTAAATGTAGTGCAAGTCCCCAGCTCTTGGATCAGCTCTTATTCTTTTTCTGCCCTACAATAATGACATCATGGTTAATGTAGCTCTCAATTCCAGTTGTTTGTCTAGTTTACGTTTGTCATTTATGTTCTTTCACAAATATTATATCCACTCAGTCACTTGTCGCAGTCTACCCATGCTGTATTTTCCTCAGGAAGCATAAGTCATGACATAATCCTTTTACCAAAAAGGCAAAGTGCTTGGCTTATGTTCTGTCTGACCATATTATTTCAGATGGTGGTACAGCTGATTGAGTCACAAACCTTCCAGCCGTTTATGTATTTACTGCAGTGTGGTTGCATTTTAGAACTATATAGACACTGGACACTGACTTGAGCAAGGGTGGCACATTTTGGAGGAAAAATAAGCTGGAATGCCCAAATGTCCAGACTTGTGTAAAGGTCATAGTGTATTCTCAGCTGTGGTCATCTTGGGAACAGGGTCTTGGCCTGAAAATGTGCTCCACGGACCATAGCAAACTGTTGGCTGTTCTTCTTGCGGCCTCCCAGCCCACTTAGTCTGCACACACAACCAATCTGGGCACGTGGCTTAGAGGAGGAAACATCTGTGCACTTCATGCAGACTCCAGAATAATTTGTAAAGCTCTTTGAAACTTTCTGTTGCTTTACATGTTTTCAGCCAAGCATGATAATGTCACGTGTGGTTTGGGAGCTGTTCAGCCTTTGGTACGTTTCCTTCCTATAGGGATCTCTTAGTCTTAGGAAAGGCCTCGTTCATGTGCACGTTGTCCAAGCCTCACATCTTTACCTTTAAATTTTTGCACTGTCAACACCAGTATCCTGGCAGGTCATCTTGGACTCTTGGTTTTGTTCTCAGAGTGATCATTTCCCAGACTTTATGTATGAAAATAGTCCATCCTGGTATCATAACAACTGCTTTTACATCAAATATGCCTTTGGAGGCATTATAATACAGACACAGCTCAGCGAGTGGGTGCAAACTGTAGGTGCTGTTTGGATGCAATAAAACAGTTTGTATCACAGTAGCAGTGGCCTGGTGTACTCAGCTCTGCATCTGTACTGATTACCAATGCTTAACTGCCATAAAGGGACACAAGGAGCTGTTTAGCTCTCTTCCTATGTCGAAATACTGTAGCACACTGTCAATTAGAGCCGGAGGAAGGAAGTGGTTTTGGCTAAAACCAGGAGTAAAGCAAAGCCGAGGGGAGATTTGGCCTGGCTCTACTCATATTTATTAGATGTTTTTTCTCCCTCATGTTAATTTATGATATGTAGGGCATATTTTTAATGGGGGAATCTCTTAATGCAGTGCAACTTGAAAGTGTTCTTATTTTCACTGGGATGTATAGTTTCTTAAATTTCTGTGCTGTTTTGGATCAATAAAAGATCCCACTAAGAGATGACAATGCATTAAGCTAGTGTGGTTTTCGCAGCAAAATTGCACATTCATAAAATGCTTGAGCACTTACCCACATAACTGATATGTGCACAACACTCACATCTGCATGTGTGCACACAAACAGAACGTGTTCACCTCCCCTCATTTTCTGCACACTTGCAGCCAGTATTAGTGTTGGATTAAACATTAAAGCTATGACTCATGTTTAGCAAGTGTACCCACTCAAAACAAAAAATTAAAAACACTTACAGTATAAACAGGCTCCCAACCTCTAACCCCTTGGCTCTAAGAGTTTGGAGCCCCTGTGCTCTACACTAACAATTCCTTATATAGCTAATTTCTTGCCTGAGCAGACTACAGCACGAAAAGGGTGAAACCTGAATTCTCTGCCTGCAGGGATGAATTTAGGGCGGGGGGGGGGGGGGG